TATATATATTAATGTATATTCAATATATTCAGCTCCCAAATTCAACATAATTTATGTTAGTATAATCAATCATGGCTATTTAAAAATCAAGCAATCAGTAAAAAAAACAAAAAACAGATGAGATGTAGGACCATTTATCATAATTAGATCATGCAGATTAAAGTGGACAATGTTAGCAGTTCAATATTGTTTTAGGATCACACAGCTTTTCTATTTCCAACCATAAAAAGGTCTATATTTATTGCTAGACTTATTTATAGCAGATTTATGGACACATATTTTACAGCCAGGATATAAGAGCTATAATAAAAATGTATATTTTCAATTTACATCATTAGTTCAAATCCATTAAATAATATACCACACAAGACAACTTATTCAGCAATATATAAATGCTCATAAATCGATCCTAAAAGCTATTGTGTCATGGCATATGCAGTATGCAGAAAATAATTACACCCATCTACAAAGAACACAAGAGTGGATTGAAGTTGCTAAAATAGTCAGGCTCATCTGTAGTGTCTCACAGGCCTTTTAAACGATCAGTCATTTGCAGCACTACTGCCAAGAGAAGAGGCGTCATCTGTTATGTGGTTGATCAAACACAGAGCTGTTCCAAAGCCCTGATGCTGTCTGTTATTACGGATGCACGCACTTTATTTCACGTCTTCTGAACTGTTGACAACAAACACCCTCTTACCCCCATTGAAAGGCTTGGAATAGACAGAGCTGTTCCAAAGCCCTGATGCTGTCTGATCAGGATATTGGAGGTCCGGTGTAGTAAAGTATGGATTCTTTTGATCAGGTTCTCTATCTCTTTCCTCTTACCTTCCACTTTATTAGCCGTCAGTTTGATCTCCCCCGGATCCTGAGAGATTAGTCAAATCACTTACATTTAAATCCAAATCTTACCCTAAAAAGGCCACATGTATGATCTAATTGTGTCAGTTGTGGTTTAGGATGGAGATTGGTACTGTGTGGTTTTACACTTTATTGGAGGATGTGTCTCAAAATGTGAATCCACATGTAGCGCAAAGAATTATTGTCCTATCCTAACAAACCATACGTCAATGGAAAGCTTATTTATTCAGCTTTCAGATGATGTATACATCTTAATTTCAAAAAATTAGTAATTTTGTCATTTTTCCTATAGTTTTTAATTAATTTTTACTTCAGGTTTAGTTGTGTTACTAATGTTGCTTCTGCAGTTCAATTAAATGTTTTTGTTTTGTTTTTTTTACATTATTCTCAAGTAATTTACTTTTTATGGTTTCAGTTTTGATTTAACTAAAATAACCCTGCTTTCTACAGATTCTCCAGCGGGGTTGGGGGGAGGGGAAGCTTTGAGGGACAGAGGATAAATGTTCTAATCTGTACAAAAATCAATCAATCAATCTTTGCACCAAATCCCATCAGTCCTAAAGTGTAACTTAAAGTCACCCAAATAATTTGCCTGCCTGTTTTACATGACACGCTGCCAATGGGAAACATTTCTGCCTTGTCCTGTCATCGCCACAAGAGTGCAGTGAGCATCCATGCTTTCAACAACTCTGTGTGAAGCAAAAGCTCTTATAGCTATTCCTGTGGGGGAAATACTGATTTATGGACAACACATACAATTCAAAAACCTCTATTTAAAGCAAAAATACTTTCAAATGTGCTTTTGGTGCCTATGAGGGTGAAGGTTGCTATTTAAAGAACATGTTATGGAATGGACTATTTGGTCAAAAAGTGAAAAGAAAAACTCTTGAAAATCTTATTTTATTTCAGGATGCTGTTATTTCAACAGCATTTTTATTAGCAAAATAGCGAATATTAGTCAACATCTGTCCCCATCCAATGAAAACCTACATTTAAGGGATGCGAAATTTAAAACCAGTTTAATTGATCATGTTACTATCAGAAAAGACTACCGAGGGCTTCTATATGACATTACATTGTACAGGTTGTCAAATCATGTGTTATGTAACATGGGTATGTGGACCTAGTGCAAAAAGTGTTATAGAAATTCTTTGGTCCCTTTTAATGGATTCAAAAATGGTTCCCTTTGATCAATAAAAAAAAAAAAAAAGCCTATTAAAGCAAAATGTTGACCTTTTGCCAAGTTTTCCCATTAAAACAGTTCATGATTTGCAGGTGTAGAGGAACCCATTCATCAGCAAATTTCAGGCTCACCAGTTTTTTCATCATTCCAATCACAGGCAAATCTGACGCACACACTTCGCTGGTAATGATGGCTGTGCTCGGACCAGCACAAGGTTTTTCAGAACTATTCTGACCCTGTAAGGAGGTTCAGACATGCTTGGATTTTTTTTGGTTTCAAAATATCTAGCTTTCATAGTCTAGACTACTATTGAACAGATTAAAGGCGTGTAGATAAATATCAACTTGCTCTTAATTAACTTAGCTGAAGTGGGGGGGCGGGGGGGGAAGCACCGCAACATTAACTGCAAGGCACATGACCTTCGAGACAGAAAGAAACTGAATAATGTTCCCAAAATCCCTTTGAATGAAAAATACCCTTAAAAAAGGACCTGTAAATCAACGTCTACAAATGGTGAAAACTTCAGCAACAATTACAGTTGTACAAATATTTTACACAAAATGCTCTTTTTTTTCCTAAAACGCAGTAAAAACAAAACAAACAAAACATTTTTTTGGAGAACATAAATATAAAGTTAAGTAACGCATTCAACATTTAGGTTCATGGTTGACCTTCCTCCTGCTCTAGTTCTCCCAAAGATTTCACATCAGGCCACTCGCAGTCACACTGTGAAAGTGAACATTTAATAGATAAATAAACAGTTTTACCAAAATCATATCAATTCATTAAATAAAAATGAAGCTGTTGTGCTCCTGCTCACCAGTGAGATGGCTCGTTTTAGAAGAGCCCACAGTCCTTAAGGTTGTTTTTGATGATGACGTCAGTGACTGCGTCAAAGACAAACTGCACGTTCTTGGTGTCGGTGGCGCAGGTGAAGTGGGAGTAGATCTCCTTGGTGTCCTTCCTCTTATTCAGGTCCTCAAACTGACACTGAATGTAAGCGGCCGCGTCCTCATACGTGCTGGAACCTTGTAGAGAGTTTCATATAATTAATATGGAGAAATACAAATAAAAATAAACTTGAGACAAAGTATATTAAGTCTCATATTAATACAAAACTACTACATTTTCTATAATATAGTTTACTTTCTATACTATTTATGTATTAAACTGATTATAAATATTAATAGTATCTCAAAGATATTAAAATACTGATATATACATCTATAATATATACTATTTTAGGCGTGTTATATTAGTATCATTATTATAGTATCATTATATTTATGTTGTTATTAATATTTTGAATCCGTTTGTTTTTTCATTTCAATTTTAAAGTTTTAACAATTTTGTTGTTTTGTCATTTATAGTAGTATTTGGTTTTTTTATGCCTATAAAGTTATTCATTCATTTTTATTTCAGTTTTAGTTATTTTAGTATATCAAGTTAAACCAAATTAAAATATATGTTGGTATTTAGCTGTAAAATACTATAAAATATTACTATATAAATTGAACTTCAAATAAAAAATAAATTTGATTCAAGAATTTTAAGCTGTTCATACCAGTATACTCAGGGAAACAAATAGTAAGCGGGCTTCTTTTTATCTTGTCGTCAAACAGATCCTTTTTGTTGAGAAACAGGATGATGGAAGTATCCGTGAACCACTTGTTGTTGCAGATGCTGTCAAACAGCTTCATACTCTCATGCATTCGGTTCTAAAAGAGGAGAAATAAAGCACTGTTTGGGAGGAACCTTAAAAGGCAAAGTTTCTGTTTCATGATAGGCCTGATGCTGACACTGAAAGAGATCTTGTTTGAGCGCTCACCATTTCCTCATCTTCAGCCAGGACGAGATCATAGTCACTGAGAGACACGCAGAAGATGATAGCGGTCACTCCCTCAAAACAGTGGATCCACTTCTTCCTCTCGGATCTCTGGCCGCCCACATCAAACATTCTGAAAGTACAGGAGATGTGGGTGGTGAAACACACTCTGGGAGAGTCACACTAAACACAATGACATTTACTAAAAAAATGTGGTAAATAATGGTTAAATATATATGATTAAAGGAGTTTGATCAGACAAACTTATCCAACAAAGACTATGATGAAAACGGCATAAACAGACAACTCTACTGAAAGCGGGCACATGAATCATGCACACATCAGTCAGAACGCAGTTCACACTCTCAGGTTCTGCGTGTCTCAAAAATATGGATTTTGTTTTATCCGTTTCGGTGTGTGCAGTTACAATGGCAATACTCACTTGAAGTGAAGATCCTTGAAAGTGAAGTGGGTCTCTACAATACCGGTTGTCTTCACCCTGGTCCTCAGGACATCTTGCTGAGTTGGGACATAGGAAGAACTGGATATTCTGTCTAGGTCATTCAGGTAGCTAGAGAGGGAAATAGAGAGTTCAGTTGATTAAAAAGTTATTCAAAATCTATTTAATGACTTTAAGGTGAAATTATTTGAAAAGGTTCAGGAAACCAGTTTAAAAATGGGCATGTTTTGTGACTTTAAATGAAATTAATCATCAAGTGAATTTGATTTAATACAATAATGAATTGAGTTTCTGATCTAGCAGAACTTTGTGTTTTTTTTCAGATTTATATATA